TCCAGTGATCCCGTTGCAGGACTGCGAGGTGTAAGCTACCATTGTAAGCTGCTAGCAGAGGAGCGTACAACAAAAGTATAAGTAGTGGCTGGCTAGCAGGGGCGATGAAGCACTCATCCAGTCATCGTCCGGTTTGCTTTCTGCAGTATTCGTAATAGTATGCTGATGGGTTTTGCGTGCTCTAGCACGAAGTCATTGCTGTACCGAGCACAGCTCCAAACTTGGTCGGAAACGCATCATTGCAGGGCTACCAGTGTCGCGCAACGAATGCAGGTTGGCACGATGTCAAAACAGCTCTACTTGGGAGATGATGAAGCGTTATAGAAGAAGACAGAAGTGCGTACAGAAGCATGTGCTGCGAACGGTCAAGAAAGCAGAGCATTAACAGTGAGCAACATTGAAACGATCACATGATGTCATGGAATCGGAGCACCCAAAAGACCAGTCAATGAAGGCAGCGTGCTAGCGCTGCAACACTTCTGAAATGCTCCTGAAGCGTGCCTACCGGATCCAGAATGACAGCAATCTTAGGCATCGTCAGAAAGATGTACTCGCCTACACTGTATGAATTTCTCAGCCATATTACTAAGACGAAGCCGTGTCGGTTGCACGTTTCTTGTCCCAGGCAACCACATCGACGTAGCGAATGTCGCCACCAAAGATGTCAAGCGCACTTCCAATTGACAGGTCCACCTACAAATTGGTTCACGAAGGTGAGATGAAGATCTGGCAATCAAACAAGCAGCACGATAGTTGTCATAGTTCGTTTCAAATACCTTGCCATTGCCGATAAGGTCCACAAAATCCAGATCATCCTGAAGACAGCAAGATACAGACACTCTCGAATATAGGTCATGCGGCTTTTTATTCGGATTGAAATGCACGTCTGCGTACCAAGGAGCTAGCACCACCAGCGTATGTAATGGGGAGGGTCTTCCACTGCGCCAGCAGTTCCACAAGCTCTTGCTACAAGATGAAAAGACAGCACACCAGGATATCATCGACTTCGCCTCTTCGTCACGTATGAATACGCCTGACAGTACCTGAATGCCGCACCGCTTGCCTTCGACGTCCACAGCATGCACTAGAAACTCGTCGCAATATTCAGCAAGGCGGTGAAACAGTGCTTCACTACAGCCATAACAAGCAATCAAAAGAGAGACGCGTCAGCTTTGACACCGCACAATCTCTATCGCTATGACTAGACGTACTCGATAGACGTCGTCGTGAACTTCTGCCAGCGATCAGTCATGACGTAGAACTTGTTATCCTCTTCCCTCTTGCGACAGCTCAAGTCCAGTACCAAATGTTCCTTGCCGAGAAGTTGCTTGAGTTTCTCCAGCCGATCAAAGTCGATCTGGCCATCACGAAACACGTAGGACGTGACGATCACGTGACTCGCACCCTTTTCCACGAAAAACTGGCAATTGTCCGCAGTGATGCCTCCTAGGTGTAATAAAAGCATTCAGTACTTTGCCAGTCGATTAAAAATTCACGACTGACTACGTCAACAGCTTCAGATCCAGAAACTGACCGCCCACTTGGAGTCCTCCTGGATAGGCTTGCAGCGCCTCTAAAGCTGCCTTCGTATTGGCTTCGGACGTGCCCAGCATAATCACATGACCTCCTACAAGTCCGTCTCTCTTGTACATCCTATTTAGCAGCCACCGAGACACATCATTGACAGCAAAGGGTACGACCAGAATAGATCCTCAGAACAAATGGCTACAGTGCCCGACTTCTAAATGGATTCGAGCCACGCACCGCGCAAAGTCTCCAGCACTCTGAGAAGACACAAAGTTCGTCACGGGCCCTTTGCCAGTCTCGTCTGTGAGCGTCGAGCCCACGATCTGCTTCACCTCGCCAGCGTGGATGTCAATGCATGGACGGAAGCGCATGGTCAGCGCTGTTTTCCGAATAGTGACATCAGATGGCTACAGGACGATGTAATCATGTTGCTGACGAGCAAAAACGGACTGATCGAAATGTACACGTTTTAGGGTACAGAACCCTCTCTCTACCTATGACGTATCGCAGGTGGTGCGTGTATTTTTCATGTGATTTTTTGGGATAATTGGGGCAGCTATTACGTTCGCTTGCGGAGCTATTATGCAAATAGCTCCGAGCGTCTCCCTTTACGTCCCCTTTTGCGATGTATCGTATTATGAAAGCAGCTTTATTCGAAGATTGTTAGAAATGTGCACTTGCGTTAGAAATGTGAACTTGTGTTAGAAATGTGCACTTGTGCTGCACGAGGTCGATCATGTCTGACCTTACATTATTGAATTGCATGGTAATACTGTCCAACTCGGTAGTCAACTTGACTGTCACCGCCGTATCAGCTGTAGCTGTAGCTGTAGCACTTCTTTGCTGCGTGTCGAATCGTGATCCTTTCGAATAAGAAGAAGCAGAGAGAGCCGGAGACTTTCGCTGACGTCCGAATCTCCGAATTGGATCGAGCCGCTTCGAAATCTGTTCAGTTCGACCAGCCAGCGACTTGGATGTTGCACCGGATTCCTTGAAGACGTTACGCGAAACAAGGGCAGTGGACTGTAGGACTCGGTCGTCGTCCTGCATTGTCAAGTTCCACATCTTTCGACGGAAGGCTGGATTACTGCACCCTCCTGCAGCGCAAGAGATGTGGCGACGCTGGATTCAGCTGTCATGTAGGGGCTGCTGTTACTTGCAATGTAATACTACGATCTTCTGGTCGACCAGGTCTATTAGAATTGGGTATCTTGGATGCAGAGATGGAGCGGATACTGCGACTGCGCAAGGCAAAAGACCGAGCAGCTCCAGGAGCAGGTTAATGGCAAAGGCAGCGCAGACCAGGAGGGATTGCGTCGCGTCTCAAGAGGACTGCGTGTTGCTACTCAAGGTGGTGGCTATCAAACTATCAAGTGGGAGGCGGAGAAATTCGTACCAGCGCGAGGTTGCTAGCGAACAGCTCCAGGACGTTCGTCGCGACAAAAGATAGATCAAGTTCACGGGAAGTTCTTCGCATTACTTTGTGAGCTTCTCATACCAGTGCAGAAGACACTTTCTATGCTCACAAGTTAGTTGAGACGCTGGTTTGACGACTGGATAATCAATCGTTCGACAACTTTACGATAGAGCACCTTCCGACCGGTTGAGCTCCAAGTAAATGTGCTATTGGTGACGAGACCGTGCAGCCGTATCTGTATACGAAGCTGACTATAGTGTATCTCCGTGCAGTACTGAATTGCATGTGTCTGGTACGAAGCAACACGACGCAGGAATATACGCCGTCGCACATGGAATCAGCTCTCGGAGCGACGCGGAATAGCCTCCCGTACAACGCTTGCGTGGTCCAGAAGGCTTGCATCTTACCGTCTGTTTCTGTGGCTAGCTTTGCAATCCAGCATCCATTGATCTCCCAGGTAAAACAACTCGGATACCAGTCCACCCTTGCATCACCCAGGCACTCTACCAACTTCCAATACCCAAAACAAACTGACCGCACACTTTTCATATCCCAGACATTTCATTCATCGGAGCTCGCCTCGACTCTTACACACGAGCCTGTCGCTATTCCTCTTCCTTCTGCGGCGGGGGTCCACAAGGCTGAAGCATTTTTTCCAACATGTTATAACGCACTCGACCCATGGCCTCGTTCTCCGCCACAGCAAAGTATGCCAGCATGTCTGAGTGGCCCAAATGCGACGCCAACGTGTCACGATGCTGGTTTACAGCCCACTCACTGCAGAACCAGTAGCAGATCGATCAATTAAACAGTAACAATGTATGTGAGTGTTAGGATCAGCAATACAACACAAGCACGACGTAGCTGCCGCTAAAAAGCCCACAATTTCGTGGTGTCAGCGTGCCCTGTGCCCACGTATTTGGCCTGCAGATGTTCCCATTGTCGGTTGATGTTGAAACGGTCCGCTGCCTGTATAGAAGGAGCCGCAACAAAGGTCAGCAAGGGCGACGTCAACACACCACGATGGCAGCAGGTCTACGCACCATTTTGCCCAAGTTCGCGCTTCGCAAATTATGAAGTTTGAATTTTGACGTTCAAATATTAGGGTAGAAAACGAGTGGTGGGATGCAAAATGACACGCTGCCGTGGCCGTGAAAAGGTGAACAATGGCGGAAGTCGCGCGCCCTGGCGTTCCTCGTCTGATTGCTACAAGTCCCAGTTGTATATTCAACTGCAGATGACGCGGACCTTATCGCGTGACGATTTTTCCTCAGTACAGTTGAAATAAATGGGGCTGTTTGTCGAGCCTTTGCGCGAGGCAAGTGCTCCTTGACTCATCGTGACGCCTGCGTGCCTTACAAATGGACACTCGCCCGCCGCGTTGAGACTTTCTTCAAACAGGGACGGCGCTCACGCAGGCGGGTTTTGATTCTAACTCGTAGCATTGACGCAGTGCAAACGAGGCTGCTGCTTCTTGCTGCTGCCGTCCTCACTTGGCATCAGAAAGTCCCGTCACGTTTCGCCTTGATGCTAATCAAACTCTTTCACGTCGACTACGAAGACGATCAGCGCTGTCATCCGCTTGTGCAACCCGGCGCTGGAGCAAATTTAGTTCGTGTCATGCACGGTAGTGATCCATTATTACCAAGTGGCGGACACCAACCCATGCTCCGTCTTAACTCGTGGGCTTTTTACACCCACACAACAACAACACGTCGAGCTTCTTGTCTCCAGTGGCGTCCAAGCTCTGTTGTCTCAGCTGGTCAAGTACCGCCAGTTGTGCTGTACAGGTCCCACGACTTGCAGCTTGCTGGTCTCCTTGGAAAGGCCCTACAATCCGAGTGGCGTCTGGCTTTCCATCCTTGAGCACTGCAGAATCTGCAGGTCCAGTTTTCTGAGCGCGCTGGTGATAACAATACGGAGGATACTGCGCTGGGTGTTGCTACCGTTTATAATGGAAAGGCTGGGGCGACGCGTCCGCCTTCTGCAGCACCGGGCCAGTACAACAAACTCAAGGGCAGCAAAGCGTAGAGGATAGAGTCACCCGGGAGTAGAAATGACGAGATGGAAACAAGGGACAGGTCGCGCGCTTGCTGGACTGGTGATCACCCGCCGAGCTGAGGCAAAGAGAGGGCGAAGCAACTTGGACCAAACCACATCGGGGACGTGCACCAAGAATCTTGGTGAACGAACGGGTAGCAAGAGAGGCCGAAACAAGTCCCTTTTGCACGACGGTCAAGCCTGCACACAGCAGCAGCGAGAGCCGCTATGTGACAGACACACCCGTTGCATTCGGCGTGTTCAGAGGTATACAGTGCATAGTAAAAAAAGTAACTTGGTGGTGGTCGTGGTGGTTGTTGTGACGCCGCTTGGGTGCGACAATGGACTCGAGTGGACAAGTGCGTGTTGTTCCCCCAACACTTGCTTGTCTACAAAATCGACGCGTCCGTACAGACCAACTAGCGTCTGTGTAGGTTTAGACCTGAGTTTAGTAAGCGTTGCGATCCAAGTGGAACGCGAGACCGTGGCTGAGTTTACTGTCTTTCCGGGGCTGGATTCGAACAATTGCTGGTCTCTGGCCACCCTCTTACTGACGTATGTACAACGAGCGGCTATAGCCTGGCCAAAAGGCTGGCCCCGGCAAAGCTCCCACCTGCCGTTGCGATGCTGTTTTGCTGCCGCTGGCTGGAAGGCAAGTGACGTCAACTGCGTCTGCTAACTTAGCCGGGGGGTGGGGCGGAGTCAACGTTCGCTGCGTAGGTTATGTAAAGATAGTATGTGATAGTCGCCACAAGAGGTGAAGGATACTTTTTCACTTCACGGATACCAGCACTGCAACGATGCCGATAGATCGATAGGAGATGCTAAAGTCGACACGCACTGGTTTTCTGAAGCTCTCTCTCTCTCTCTCTCTACTGCTTCTCAGCAGATTATTCGCACGCGCGCGTACTCTTCCGCTTTCTTCGCCTTGTTTCTTCCTGCTGCAGGAAGCGGGTTGGGTGGTGCAGAGCCCCGTCGTCGACGCTTCTCTCCCTCGTACCATGAGTGCTCGCGAGCAGCCAGAACGATGAGTAAGACGAGCTCTTTGTACTTATAAACTTGCTTATCAATCAATCACTCAACCCCTGCGCATTATTGAGGCAGGAGATGGTATTCCCACTACCGACCGACTACTACACGCGCTTGCTTGCTTCCGGTGACGGCGAAGAAACAGTCGGTGCACTCTATTGTTCGACACACACCCACCCGCTCGCTCGCGTCCCAGCGAGTGCAGACTTACCACGCTCGCGACACGACGCAGGCGACCCTTCTTATAGTAATTCCACGTATTTTACTGCTCAGCAGGCTCTCGTCACTGCCCCAATGATCGACCGATTGACTGGCTGACTGACTGACGGGTCCCCCTCTTGCAATTTACAGTCCTTCTCTTCGTTCTACACGAGATCCATGATCGGGGTCGTCGTCCCGGGACAATCCATCGCTGCTGAGACCTCCCTAACTAGCTAGGCGTGCCACCACCGAGCACGGACTTTAGGTGGTCAGAAACTCTGGCAGTTGAAAAGACTCGGCGCAGTCGTTCTCAGGGTTCTTGCTCCGTGTATTCACTTGAATGTAGTCGGCCATGACGGCCTCGTAGCTGTCAAGTCGCCGCGTGAGCTCACAGAAACAGCAGTCGCAGTCCGGTCCGTGCGTCTCGGCATCTTCAGCCGACGCAATCTCTTTCGAGTTGTCAAACACGCGCTCCATGAGTCTGGCACGCCAGTCTTGATAAATCTTGAGCCGCAATTGATGCGCCTCGACGCGCGACTCGGGGCTCATGCTCAACGCCTTCTCGTTCACTTGCACCGAGAAGTCGTCCATGATGTTCAAGTACTGCTCGTGGAGCGTCTGGAGACTCGACAACAGCTGGTCTTCCTCGGGCGACAGCGTCTCTTTCATGCCCACGAGGAAGTCCCGAACGTTCTTGGCAATTTCCATCTCGCGGTTACAATTGATTGGCTGGTCAGTTCCTTGGTCCCTTGGGTCGTTGACGTGCACGAAATGGTTCGCTCCAGTCCCTTTGGCGGCTGCGACGGCTTGAGTGCGTTGCAAAGTAGAGATCGAAAGATCAATAGCTGCTGCTGGTGGTAGTGGGGGGTCAATGAATTGGCGGCTTTCGGGAGAGCAACGGGTCCGACTGACGCCCTGCGCGAGGGAGGGAGGGCGGGCGGGCGGCCTGGCAACCAAAGGACTCTGTTGGCGTGTGTCGTGGCCAGCAAGATGGCAAATGGTACGTCCGGGCGGCCGGCCCGGCTGCTCGGGGATGAGTGTGTGTGTGTGTGTGTGGCGTGGCGTGGTCCACACCGACTAACTCCACGCAGTCGTTGTTCCCTTCCACTTTTGGATGGGAGGAGCAAACGCGGCGCTCATTATCATATCATGGAGCGGGCCCCGAATATCACAACAAGAGATGGGCAAGCACGCCGATTGGCTAGCCGCCTTGTAGCAACGAAAGGTACCGACCGCTCTGTCTCTTACTACAGCCCGATCTAGTCATCGAAACATGGTCGGGTGGCACGACCATCGTGAATGCCTTTGAATACCCACACACAACACCCACAAAACAACCACAAAACACCCGGTCCTTGTGTTATTCGAATAAACTTTGCCGACCAGTTGACATTTCCACGGAAGGTGCTGCTGTAAGTAGGTCGTGGTTGAGACGGTTCCCAGACGCTATATATGTCGACTACCAGCCGGGTACGACTGCCATGGGGTGAATTTTGCAGCCGCCCCGAAAGCGAAATGTCACGATAGCGCTGAAGAAAGGGCAAGGTGCTGCTCTGTTTCTGCACGCGCGTAGAAACAAGCCACGGCGCGCGTCCTTTTTATGAGCCCGAAAACGCCGGAAATCGCCCGCCCGCTAATAGTGCACGTCCTCGAACGGGTGGGGAGGGGACGGGGGTAGCGGCGGAGCAGGCGGGCCCGTGCCGCAAAACTATTACTCGCTCCTGACCTTTTTGTAGACGCCCCGGTGCTGCAGCAAAGCGCACGTGAGCCTCTTGTTCGATCTCCTCACCAACTGTCCCCGCTCTCTGCCTTCTTCGCCTTTTTGAGCCGGTTATGGTTGCTTTCGTGGCGACTGCTACTGCTACTGCTGCTGCTGCTGCGACCGGGGCATCAGTCTCTCGTGTGAGAGGGCACCCATCTTCGAACAGCTCCCTAGTCTCCAGTGCGCTCGTCTACCTCCCTACGAGTACGTCCGTACATGCGTACGGACGGACAGCCGGTCGGACGGACGGATGAATGGACGGACTGGTTCAAGGTCAAACCTGTAATCGGATCGATCTCTCTACCTGCTGGCAAAACACTATCGTCTTGCAACTAGGTAGCTACATGGCCGCCACCAATCGATTACATATCTGTATCAATCCGTCTTCACGGTAGCAACCTATCGGTGACAAGGGCGCGGTCAAAAGAGACACACTGCCAACAGGTCTTTCGTCGCCAACTCTGGCCTCGGCAATGTGCAACAACGACCAATTCTGCCACCACGTGTTACGGTGCCGCCCGCAGCTGGACTTCGATGGAACATCAGTCCGCGATTGAAGATGAATTGCCCGTGCCCGTTCGCACGCTCTTCTGTCGGTGGTTGCTGCACGGATGGCGCTTCCGACGCAGCAACAGTGGACTTCGTTGAGGGATAGATCACTGTCCAATGACGCGGTGTCTTGATCAAGAGGAAGAGGTTGGTTGACCTGGCGACGGGCATCGACGGCCCATTGTACCGGGATGGGAGTTCAGACTGAACGGCGCGGGCAGCTGCGATCACGTGAGTAGACCAGCGGGACACGGCCGCCACAGCGACTGCGCGAGTGACGTGCGCGAGCGTCGACCCGCAGCGAAGGCACGAAGCAAATCAGGCCGAACGATCTGGTCGGGCCGAGGTTCCGATCATCAAGATGACGCCATTCCGCTGGAAACCGCGGTGATTCGTGTGGTACACACCATATCTCAAGTGTCCAAACTGACTGATTCGATCGTCAACCTTCGGACGACCACGGATGAAGGAGTGTCTGAATTGCAATTGGTGATTAATAAAACACATCGCCGATTCGTCCGTCGAACCAGACGATCCGCTCTGTAGTTGTGAGTGGTGATCACTAGATTTCGAGTTCTTGCTTGCGAGACGCCAGCTTTTTGCATGATCAGTGAGCAGATACTCCCTCTCTTTCTATACAATCATTTGCATTCTCAGTGAGCAAGCAGACTGTCCCTTCGATATTCCATTGGAGCGGGGGCGCTATTTCGTATCGTAGAGAGCGAGTGCTCCGATTTGGCTTCCTTGTGAGCCGGTCTCCACTTCGTATGGGTGCATCATTTTGCACCCTGAGTCAGTCAGTGGGTGTGATCATTTGTATCCCAATGAAAACAGGTTTTGGTCGTGAGAATGCAAATAGTGGCATCGTATTGTATTCCCGATGTTGGCACCTCGGTATCACTATGGAGAGGAATGTTCATCCCGCGTATTCCGTCGCACCTCTCACGTGTAATATCGAATATCAGGTCAACCCCCGTGCCTGTTTTAGGCTGTCGGACAGTCGCTGCAGCCTTTACTGCAACTACTCGACAGGTGCGTTCCGCCCGACCGACCTCACGGCTTTGAAACCGTACCGGACGTGAAACCTGTTGCGTATATCTGATAGCCCAGTCGCAGCCTTGAGTAGGGGCGAGACTGGCGGGTCCCCCCCCCCCCCCCCCCCCCCCCCCCCCCCCCCCGGGGGGGGGGGGGGGGGGGGGGGGGGGGGGGGGGGGGGGGGGGGGGGGGGGGGGGGGGGGGGGGGGGGGGGGGGGGGGGGGGGGGGGGGGGGGGGGGGGGGGGGGGGGGGGGGGGGGGGGGGGGGGGGGGGGGGGGGGGGGGGGGGGGGGGGGGGGGGGGGGGGGGGGGGGGGGGGGGGGGGGGGGGGGGGGGGGGGGGGGGGGGGGGGGGGGGGGGGGGGGGGGGGGGGGGGGGGGGGGGGGGGGGGGGGGGGGGGGGGGGGGGGGGGGGGGGGGGGGGGGGGGGGGGGGGGGGGGGGGGGGGGGGGGGGGGGGGGGGGGGGGGGGGGGGGGGGGGGGGGGGGGGGGGGGGGGGGGGGGGGGGGGGGGGGGGGGGGGGGGGGGGGGGGGGGGGGGGGGGGGGGGGGGGGGGGGGGGGGGGGGGGGGGGGGGGGGGGGGGGGGGGGGGGGGGGGGGGGGGGGGGGGGGGGGGGGGGGGGGGGGGGGGGGGGGGGGGGGGGGGGGGGGGGGGGGGGGGGGGGGGGGGGGGGGGGGGGGGGGGGGGGGGGGGGGGGGGGGGGGGGGGGGGGGGGGGGGGGGGGGGGGGGGGGGGGGGGGGGGGGGGGGGGGGGGGGGGGGGGGGGGGGGGGGGGGGGGGGGGGGGGGGGGGGGGGGGGGGGGGGGGGGGGGGGGGGGGGGGGGGGGGGGGGGGGGGGGGGGGGGGGGGGGGGGGGGGGGGGGGGGGGGGGGGGGGGGGGGGGGGGGGGGGGGGGGGGGGGGGGGGGGGGGGGGGGGGGGGGGGGGGGGGGGGGGGGGGGGGGGGGGGGGGGGGGGGGGGGGGGGGGGGGGGGGGGGGGGGGGGGGGGGGGGGGGGGGGGGGGGGGGGGGGGGGGGGGGGGGGGGGGGGGGGGGGGGGGGGGGGGGGGGGGGGGGGGGGGGGGGGGGGGGGGGGGGGGGGGGGGGGGGGGGGGGGGGGGGGGGGGGGGGGGGGGGGGGGGGGGGGGGGGGGGGGGGGGGGGGGGGGGGGGGGGGGGGGGGGGGGGGGGGGGGGGGGGGGGGGGGGGGGGGGGGGGGGGGGGGGGGGGGGGGGGGGGGGGGGGGGGGGGGGGGGGGGGGGGGGGGGGGGGGGGGGGGGGGGGGGGGGGGGGGGGGGGGGGGGGGGGGGGGGGGGGGGGGGGGGGGGGGGGGGGGGGGGGGGGGGGGGGGGGGGGGGGGGGGGGGGGGGGGGGGGGGGGGGGGGGGGGGGGGGGGGGGGGGGGGGGGGGGGGGGGGGGGGGGGGGGGGGGGGGGGGGGGGGGGGGGGGGGGGGGGGGGGGGGGGGGGGGGGGGGGGGGGGGGGGGGGGGGGGGGGGGGGGGGGGGGGGGGGGGGGGGGGGGGGGGGGGGGGGGGGGGGGGGGGGGGGGGGGGGGGGGGGGGGGGGGGGGGGGGGGGGGGGGGGGGGGGGGGGGGGGGGGGGGGGGGGGGGGGGGGGGGGGGGGGGGGGGGGGGGGGGGGGGGGGGGGGGGGGGGGGGGGGGGGGGGGGGGGGGGGGGGGGGGGGGGGGGGGGGGGGGGGGGGGGGGGGGGGGGGGGGGGGGGGGGGGGGGGGGGGGGGGGGGGGGGGGGGGGGGGGGGGGGGGGGGGGGGGGGGGGGGGGGGGGGGGGGGGGGGGGGGGGGGGGGGGGGGGGGGGGGGGGGGGGGGGGGCGAGCGCCATATGAAGTTGCAAGGCACGACTGCCACTGGGGGGGGGGGGGGGGGGGGGGGGGGGGGGGGGGGGGGGGGGGGGGGGGGGGGGGGGGGGGGGGGGGGGGGGGGGGGGGGGGGGGGGGGGGGGGGGGGGGGGGGGGGGGGGGGGGGGGGGGGGGGGGGGGGGGGGGGGGGGGGGGGGGGGGGGGGGGGGGGGGGGGGGGGGGGGGGGGGGGGGGGGGGGGGGGGGGGGGGGGGGGGGGGGGGGGGGGGGGGGGGGGGGGGGGGGGGGGGGGGGGGGGGGGGGGGGGGGGGGGGGGGGGGGGGGGGGGGGGGGGGGGGGGGGGGGGGGGGGGGGGGGGGGGGGGGGGGGGGGGGGCCCCCCCCCCCCCCCCCCCCCCCCCCCCCCCCCCCCCCCCCCCCCCCCCCCCCCCCCCCCCCCCCCCCCCCCCCCCCCCCCCCCCCCCCCCCCCCCCCCCCCCCCCCCCCCCCCCCCCCCCCCCCCCCCCCCCCCCCCCCCCCCCCCCCCCCCCCCCCCCCCCCCCCCCCCCCCCCCCCCCCCCCCCCCCCCCCCCCCCCCCCCCCCCCCCCCCCCCCCCCCCCCCCCCCCCCCCCCCCCCCCCCCCCCCCCCCCCCCCCCCCCCCCCCCCCCCCCCCCCCCCCCCCCCCCCCCCCCCCCCCCCCCCCCCCCCCCCCCCCCCCCCCCCCCCCCCCCCCCCCCCCCCCCCCCCCCCCCCCCCCCCCCCCCCCCCCCCCCCCCCCCCCCCCCCCCCCCCCCCCCCCCCCCCCCCCCCCCCCCCCCCCCCCCCCCCCCCCCCCCCCCCCCCCCCCCCCCCCCCCCCCCCCCCCCCCCCCCCCCCCCCCCCCCCCCCCCCCCCCCCCCCCCCCCCCCCCCCCCCCCCCCCCCCCCCCCCCCCCCCCCCCCCCCCCCCCCCCCCCCCCCCCCCCCCCCCCCCCCCCCCCCCCCCCCCCCCCCCCCCCCCCCCCCCCCCCCCCCCCCCCCCCCCCCCCCCCCCCCCCCCCCCCCCCCCCCCCCCCCCCCCCCCCCCCCCCCCCCCCCCCCCCCCCCCCCCCCCCCCCCCCCCCCCCCCCCCCCCCCCCCCCCCCCCCCCCCCCCCCCCCCCCCCCCCCCCCCCCCCCCCCCCCCCCCCCCCCCCCCCCCCCCCCCCCCCCCCCCCCCCCCCCCCCCCCCCCCCCCCCCCCCCCCCCCCCCCCCCCCCCCCCCCCCCCCCCCCCCCCCCCCCCCCCCCCCCCCCCCCCCCCCCCCCCCCCCCCCCCCCCCCCCCCCCCCCCCCCCCCCCCCCCCCCCCCCCCCCCCCCCCCCCCCCCCCCCCCCCCCCCCCCCCCCCCCCCCCCCCCCCCCCCCCCCCCCCCCCCCCCCCCCCCCCCCCCCCCCCCCCCCCCCCCCCCCCCCCCCCCCCCCCCCCCCCCCCCCCCCCCCCCCCCCCCCCCCCCCCCCCCCCCCCCCCCCCCCCCCCCCCCCCCCCCCCCCCCCCCCCCCCCCCCCCCCCCCCCCCCCCCCCCCCCCCCCCCCCCCCCCCCCCCCCCCCCCCCCCCCCCCCCCCCCCCCCCCCCCCCCCCCCCCCCCCCCCCCCCCCCCCCCCCCCCCCCCCCCCCCCCCCCCCCCCCCCCCCCCCCCCCCCCCCCCCCCCCCCCCCCCCCCCCCCCCCCCCCCCCCCCCCCCCCCCCCCCCCCCCCCCCCCCCCCCCCCCCCCCCCCCCCCCCCCCCCCCCCCCCCCCCCCCCCCCCCCCCCCCCCCCCCCCCCCCCCCCCCCCCCCCCCCCCCCCCCCCCCCCCCCCCCCCCCCCCCCCCCCCCCCCCCCCCCCCCCCCCCCCCCCCCCCCCCCCCCCCCCCCCCCCCCCCCCCCCCCCCCCCCCCCCCCCCCCCCCCCCCCCCCCCCCCCCCCCCCCCCCCCCCCCCCCCCCCCCCCCCCCCCCCCCCCCCCCCCCCCCCCCCCCCCCCCCCCCCCCCCCCCCCCCCCCCGTGACGGGCGCATTGCTGTCTGTCGATGCTCCACTGACCAGCATAGAAGTCGTTTCCCTATCATGATTTAGACTGAGGAAACGGTCTGAACAGCCTCACTCACTACTCAGCACAACAACCGCTACACGTAATCAACGAGTTCAGACTCACGTGAATAGATAGATAGACAGACGGATAGATAGATAGATGACTGACTGACTGACGCTCGTCATACAAAGTGCAACACTCGTCTACAGCCACGAGCTCACCATGCAACGGCGGCAACCCATGGGTTCAGTACCACCGAACGAATGAACGAGAATACATTCCGTCACGATAGACATGTAGGTCGATAGAGCTACCGATACCGGTCGCTGTTGTCGTCAACTGCCTCAAGCCGACCCCGTGCTGCTAACGGACTGTACTTCCAGTGCAAAGAAGCAGCTGCGACGGGGTGCCCCGTGCAGCTGGCAAATCGTGTGGTCCCATGGCTGTCACCTCTCAATCTCCGGCTTCAACCGTGCGACTCGGACACGAAACTTGGCATGCCCATGCAGCAGCATTTCTGAATCTACCAGCGACCAAAGCGTCGTCTAGTACGGGAGAAGAACAACAACCAGCAATGGACTCGTCCTGTGCCACTCGACGGACGCAGCGTCAATTGCCTGCATTGACACCAGCTTCCTTCCGGTCGAGCTCGCCTGCTGCTGCACCACACAAGCTCGAGCAGCTTCGTAATCGCCCTCGACCTCAACCTACTGACAATAGCAACAGCTCGAGTCGGTCACGAGCTCTACCGTCGCCTTCAATTGCCCACGTTTTCTTCAATCGACGGCCGCTGGACTTGATCCGGCGCACGACGAGCTCGGTGCTGACATTGGAAGGGAGCGATCGCTCAGCTCTTGCAAAAGTCAGCGCAACGGCAGGTCTCTCAGGGGACGAGCGACTGCATCGACCTTCTTGTGGTCTCCACAATAGTGACAAGCAGCACAGTCGATCGCGACTGCAGCAGCTCAAGGACAGGAGCAAGACCAAAGAGGGGGCGCGACCTTATTCCCACCGAAGGCTGCAGCTTGCAGGAGCGGTGAAAGATGCAGAAACAGAGCCGAGAAAGCTGGAAGGCCGTTTGCAGGACGTCGCGGAGACCAGGAAGCTATTGACGAGATGTCCTTTGACTGGGAAGGAAGTGGTTGGAAGGGAGATGGTGAAAGCTGCTGAGCTGACGGGACTCGAGCGCGTGGAGATCCAGCAGTATGACGAGGTCTACTTTGAATCGACACTTGCAGTCAAGCGAGCTCGTTGCAATGGATGTATCCGGAATACAATGCCAGTCCATGGCGATGAGCCACTGGAAGTGGAAGCTGAAGACCCGAATGAGGTGCCCACGCAGTTGCACAATGATGGCTACGACGACAAGGATGGAGATTACCTCGTCTTGATTGGAGACCACTTGGCATTTCGATATGAAGTGCTGAGTGCTTTAGGCCAAGGAGCATTTGGCCAGGTTGTTCGTTGTGTGGATCACCGCACGCGCAAACAAGTTGCAGTGAAGATTGTCCGCAATCGACGAGCGTATCGTGACCAGGCACTGATGGAGGTGCAGGTTCTAGCTCAGCTCCAGCGTGGAGCAGCAGCTTGTCCTGAGTATCCGCATGTTGTCTGCATGGAAGACCACTTTGAGTTTCGAGACCACGTGTGCATCGTCTTTGAGGAGCTCGGCATGACCCTGTACCATTATTTATCGATCCGATCCTTTCGCGGGGGTTTCCATGGACAGCGTCCGCACGGTGGGTGAGCAACTGGCACGAGCACTGACGTTCTTAAAGCAAGAGAAGGTGGTTCACTGCGACTTGAAGCCGGAGAACATCTTGCTCGATGCGTCAGTGCTGGCGAACGCTGCACGCTGTACGGATACTTTGGACAAGGTGACGCTCATTGATTTCGGCAGCAGTTGTCTGGATGGATCTCCCGTAGCCACGTACATCCAGAGCCGTTTTTATCGCAGTCCTGAAGTACTGCTCGGCCGCGTTTGCTCGGAAGCCATCGATATGTGGAGTTTGGCGTGCATCCTGGTGGAACTACTGACAGGTCACCCAATTTTTGCTGGTGAGAATGAGCGCGAGCAATTCGATTGCATCGTGGAGGTGCTCGGTGTCCCTCCGGTTGACATGGTCCTCCAGGCAAAGCGACGTCTGAACTTTTTCGATGAAGTCGCAAACCCTGCGGATGTTGAGTCTGCAGCGTGCGTGCTGAAGCCATTTGTTAACTCACGCGGACGTCGACGCATACCTGGTTCTCGAAGTTTGGCTAGTGTGGTAATGACCGATGACTCGGAGTTCTTGCTCTTTTTGGCCAAGTGCTTCGTCTGGGACCCCAGTCAGCGCCTTACTGCAGAGCAAGCGCTGGAAGAGCCATGGATGCAACGTCGGCATTGTAGAACTTAACTTCTAGATCGTAACCAAGCATTTGTCAAGGATGCAGTTTTTTCCAACACTTGAGCACCGTATTGTAGCATGTTACGCGACAGGTACGTCTGGAAGAGCTGCTGTCACTGCCGTCTCAGATATCGCGGGCGAACGTAGCTTGTCTGCAATAGGGTCCGTGCAGTCGACAACACCCCACGTGTGCACACTCTTGTCCCATGAACCCGTGGCAAGCATCGGATCGAGCTTCTTGCCGTCAGATGCTGATGACAACTTGAACCAGTCCAGCGCACGAACGTAGTCTCGATGCGGTGCTATCTTCTCTTCGCCAACAAGCAATTCTCTACCCACAGCGCGGTCGGACGAGAAGCTGTCCGAAGTCACGAATGCCTTGCCATCGTCCCCTCCCGTCGCCAACAGGTCATCATGACACGGCGAGTACTTCACGACGTGTACGGCTGCTCCATGAGTCTCTCGTCGAGCCAGCGGTGTGTGCGGCGAGCGTACGTCAAAAGTACACACCGTGCCGTCTTCCAAACCGACCGAGAACACCGTGGACTGCGTCGGGTGCCAGTCTACCGATAGCGCAGGATGCAATGTCGACACCACCAACGCTGCACTTTGAGGACGACGAGCGTCCCACAGCTGCACCGTCATATCCTGTGATGCCGAGCACAGTAGAGGTGCATGCACCGGGTGCATTGCCACATCCCAGATCAAATCCGTATGACCTTCAACCCACACCAAATAAAACACCCGCTGCCATGAGACTTACAGCACTCAAACTGCCTGCCCTTCATACTCGATGGCCATTCCACGCACCTTCAAGCGTCGAGATGGTCTCGTTCATGGCTTCAATGTCCCACAACTTCACCCTACAACCACGTCCAAGAAAGCACAGCATAGAAGCCACTTTTAGCACTCCCAATCGACCAGCAGCATCTCTTCTCCCAATGTCACAATTGCACCGTACGTAAGGTCCCAACTGCACGTCGCCAGCTGCGTCTTTGCGACACGCGAGCCACTCACACCCGTGACGATATCATCGTGTCCTTTTCCTGTACTAACCCCAGCATCCGCTTGCTCTGCCCTGCCTCCAGCAGCGCCACTGATCGGTACCAGAGCCACTGCTTCATCGGTCCGGCCCAATTGCGCCAGCTGCACGACGCCATCGTCACAGCCCAGCACAAGTGTGTCTTGATGTGCACCACACCAATCCAGAGCTCCCACGCCAGCGTCCAGCTGCAGCCCACACACCGGTTCATTAGTATCGGAAGCTTGTACCAGCGTGACCTGGCCGTTCCAGACGTTTCCCTCGAGCTGCGACTGGGCGACAGCTAGCAGCGACCCCTCGTTCGAATGCGCGTGATCGCGGGCTTCTCCTACGTCCGTAAACAGCGCGTGAGGCAGCGCACAGGCAGCGACAGCGTCCACCTGCGCCGAGGACGAGTACGCGGGATGCCTCATGCTGGTCAAACGAGAGGCGAGACGACTGGTAATCGCGCAAAACGCGATCGGATTGGCTGAAAAGCTGCGACTTGAAGTCGGCCATGGAAGAAGAAGAAGAAAAAAGTAGTTTTGTTTTTCTTGTGTAAAAAAGGATCGCAGTCCGTTAGGTTCGTTCCGGTTGGTAGCTGCCTTTTTTCTGTTCGTCTCCCTTCGCGTACATGTCGACCATGTCGCATACGAAAGATCTACGACCTTTCAGTATTAGTTTTAACAGCCGCGATGGACGTTGAAGAGCTCTTTGAGGGGCACGTTTGGCAGTTAACGACTGCGATGGTGGGTGACTGTGCACTCGTCCCACATCCGCCTCTGCTCGCCCTCCCTCCCGCTCGGTCGGTTGCTCTGTAGCAACAGCACTTCCCAATTCGCGCACTACAAGCGACACCAACCGACCAACTGACTGACCGACGAAAGTTTCCCTTCACTAGAATGCAAATGCCGACGAGTATGCCCAAGAGCTCCAACGACCGCGGCATGAAAGAAGCAGCGTCCAAGAAGGTGGACGAAATGCTCACGGAGGCGGAACAGATGCGTGATCGCAAGGACTTGGGCGACCAAGGCCGTCGGACTCTGGAGCAGATCCAGGAAGATGCACGGAACCTCGGCGAGTATGCTCGTGGCAAGATGGACCACATGAATGAGGTGATGCGCGAGGCAGCGGCCTCGGCTCGTGAGTCAGCTGGACTGCCTGACTCGGCTCCGGTGCCAACGGACGCAATGAGTGAAAAGGTCATGGACTCTCTCAAGACGGCGAGCGAGAAGCTGAGTGCCGAAATCAGTGACTTGGGTGAGCGCGTGGAGAGTGTCAGAGCTCGAGTCGCGCAGCAGGTACACGCTGCAGGGGGTAAAGCAAAGGACACGGTCAATGCAGCAAGTGACAAGGCCAAGGACACGGTGTATGCGGCCAGTGACAAAGCCAAAGACACGATGCACGCAGCAGGTGATAAAGCCAAGGATACGTGGATCCAGAGCTCGGAAGCCGCTAAGAATGTGGGTGAGCGCGAGTATTGCTTGCCGTTGCCAACGGATCGCATTTGCGCGCGGCACGTGGCCATGGTGGGGCTTCCGTTGCTAGCCTTGTTTTTGCTGATGATGATGCGTCGTCGCTACCCGAAGAAGTGGCAGGCGAGCGTGGACAAGATGCGGACGCCGGGCAAGTCGCTGGCGCGCGAGATGCCATCGAGCGACCATATCAAGTCGAAGCTGGAAGGGGTCGCCGATACCCTTGAGGAGAAGATTGAGTATGGCAAGCAGCGTGGAAGCGCCGTGGTGGACCAAGTGCGCAGCAAGTATGGCCAAGTGGAGAATAAGAAGGAGCAGTAAGGAGGAGAAGACGGATGAGCTGTGTCTTCCGTATAGCGTTGAAGACACGAGTCTAATCACGCCGGTTGCTTGCATACATTTTATTTCCTAACAAGTTGACATAAGAAATCAGCGTTGATCAATCGCAATCATGTGAGAGTAGATGGAGAGAGTACGAACATGAGCTCAGATTGAGATAAATGTGTTCATGAAACCTTCTGCCGCTTGACAGCCGCTGTTGCGCTCGCAGACTCGGCCTTGTCGTGCGTTGGTACGACACCCGCCGCTGATGGTCCTTCGACCCCAGCTACGTCGCGCCCTGCAGCTCGAGTGGCAGCTGCAGCATTGTTGTTCTCTAACTTTTCAGCAATTTCCGGTGCATGTTTCTTCATAAGCTGAATCAAGATAGAGTCAACACGCGCCGAGTGCTCGCGCTGTTTCTCCATTTTTTCATATTTCTGCTTCAGTTTCAGCTGTAGCTCTGCGCACACGGCAAAAAACAAGTCAGTTGACGTGATCGATCCCTAGTACAAAAAGCACTGGCGAATACCCAACAGTCCTCAACGTACGCTCCGATGGAATAACAGGCTCCTTCTTGTCCTTGGAGCTAAAGTCCCATGCATAACCTTCCGTGGGGCTAAAGCGCACGCCCGCTGCCAACCCGTGGAACGCTTTATTGATGCGATAGCTGCACTTTTTCTATCAAGCAGTTTGTAGTTTTCCACCAATCACAAACACAATCAACCTCGCGCACCATAAGCTCAAGTGGCGCAACCTTCGAACGACCTCACAACACGCAACGTACGAGGCGAGACGTCAGCATTGCGTGGATGTTTGGGGCCTGGTACACGGTACCATCCAGCACGTAGTAGACCGCGAGCGGCTCAACCTGCGTCCGGCTGCTCCGTCGCTGCTTCCGGACGACGTAGAGCTGCTGAGGCAACTGCTTGGCCGCGTTCGGCAAGAGCTCGTACTCGATCCCGCGCAAGTTCTGGAGCTGGTCGAGCCCTAATCGCTGCATCTTGAGGCGCTCGTTGTTGCACGAGCGGTCGTAGAACGGGGATAGGGCAAAGTAGTGCAGCACCGTCTGCGGGGTCAGTGGGAACGACTGGAGCCACACGGTGTCGCGGAACGACGCGTTGTAGTCGTCCGCGTGCGCTGCGACTTCCATAGTTGATACTTGAGAGACTTTGGGGATCAAAGCGGCGGTTCGATTGCGCGAAACTCGCGTGTTGTTCGAGTGAAGTTGCTGCACTGAAGGTTGTTCGAGTGAAGTTGCTGCGCTGAAGGTTGTTCGAGTGAAGTTGCTCGAGCCAAGTTGCGGAATGGCCTTTTCGGGTTAAGTGCGATTGAAATAGGGCGAAGCGCACTTATCACGGACGACGACTTTTTCCTCTTGTCGAGCATTGCAAAACGCCTTTTTTTACACATGACCGAATGCCGAGTCACGTATCGAACGGCCTTTGATCGTGAACTGCGAGCGTTTGTGGTGAAACAGCTGGTCAAGTATTTGCTGTTGATACGTGGCCAAGTACCGTGGTACGTCGTTTGTGATGTCTGTGTGGTTTTATGTGTGGAATCAGATGTGTGTGTGTGTGCGGCTTGGCTGAGAAATGCTGAGTCGAGACTTTGTTGTTTTGTTTTGCGGTGCAATCATGACTTGCAGTTTGTATGACGAGCTGCCGAAGTTTGTCGAGCGTTTTCGACTGGAGGAACAGATGGGTCCATTGAATGGAAAAAGGTGGTACTCATGACTGCTGCTGTTGTCTCCTTTTTTTTCATGTTGACGTTGTTGGTTATTTTTGTTGTTGTTGTTGCTGTTTTTTGTGTGGTGCTGACGGTGGTTGGTGCTAGGCTGCCGCTTCGTGGAGGGCTCAAGAAGGCAGTCAAGTGTGTGGAGGCAGCTGAGCAGTTGTTTCAAGTCCACTTGGATGCTATTTTTGCACTGCAAGTCAAGAGAGGTGGGCGGAGTGTTGGACGTGCAGAGAATGAAGTGTGCGTGAGGCTACAGGATCGATGCTGACTTTTGTTGATTGCAGTGGCGCTCGTGTTTGGGTCGTCAACAATCAGTCCGCGCGAGGTCTTCATTGTCGAATTTGAAGATGTGGAGGATGCAGAAGTGTTGCTGTCTGGTGCTGTTCCCTCGCCAGTGCGCAGTGGCCTGACAGATGACTCACTTGAAGACTCAGAGACGATGGCGGTGCCGTCACGCGTGATGACCAGAGAAAAATTGATGCATTTGTGTGCACAAAAATGCATGCGTGCATTGTTTGTGCATTCTATGCAGCATTTTTCGAGGTGAGGAAGATGTGTGTGGCTGTGTGCGGACATGCTAACATGCAGGGCTTTCATGACGTGGTGTTTTGTGGCTGTTCCGTCTAGAGCCTTACCGGCAACAAAGTTGCATGTTGCAGTGCTAGCGGATCGACAAGCCGCGCGTGTTGCAGGGTTTATTCCGAAGCAGCATTTCAAGCTTCGACTTCCGAAAGATAAGCGTGGAGTGAGAACGCACTATGTGACGATATGCAGTAAGCTCGCTTGCAAGAAAGACTCGCAGCAGCTGGATGCAGTGGAAAGCACGTACAGCAACACGAGCAAACCAAGTGGACGTGCTGGTGAGGTGGAACCCATGAGCATTCACAAACCTGCGAACACCAACGAGTCAGATATGCTCTGGCACGTCCTCGAACTGCCGATTCCAGGCTTTTCGGAGGTCATCAATACTCGTGAAGGCCAATAGCGGTTGAAGCGTGCTGCTGCAATGACTCAAAGAGACGATGAGATATCTATGCCAAGTTGAAGTCGAGCTGTTCATCCGACTCTGAGCATGACGATGATGACAAGGTCATCACGGCGAAGGCTATCACGAAGTCCAAGTGATGTGTTGGTGATTCCTGATTTTTTGAATGCAAGTAACCTTGGCCCCGACAGCGTTTGCTCACGGTTGAATCGCCTATTTGTGCTGGCAGGTCCGTACCGAGCATGATTTTACCAATACACTTTGTATCAATAACCTGCAACATACAGCAGCACCTGCTACACGGTATTCAAACAACCTCGACGGTCGCGAGGTACTCAGCAAGTTCATGCTCATGGTAACGGCTCTTTGTAAGCGACCAAAGGTAAGAAATCGTCGAGTGCTCGTAGAAGAAGCGATAGCTGCACACAACTTGATCGCGGTATAGAATTTCGGTGCCACAGATGATGACGCGAAGATATTGCAGCCTGAGCTCATCACAAAGCGGAAAACACAATGCACACACGCGAGCAGCATTGCAGCAGTCGCCGTATTACCAAAGTCGAAACACTAGCTGTTACACTAGCAGGCAAGTAGCACCCACCCACTCACTGCCTCTCGTTCTTCACATCGCCTGAAGGTATAAAGAGTCAGTCACCCACCGACTCTTGGATCTCAATCTCCAGCCAACATCAAATGCGCGCTGTCTTCCTCGTATTCCCTCGACTTCATTCCGGACGGTGGACTTTCGTCTTGTTGCGTGGACTGACCTTCTTACCCGGCTTTATCGCTTCTGCCTTGATCTCTTCAGCACTGTTGATCTTCCCTCCCGGATAGAGACAAATGAGCGACACTTGGATGATCCCCATCGTGAGCGAAAACAAGTTCGGACACATGACAAGCGGATCGCCCAACATGATGCCGTAAATGAACCACAGCGAGCCACCCACGACATTCATGGCAGACATGCCCAGTGGTAAGCAGGACGCGTCTTTACGTCGCAAGATGCTCTTGAGTTGCAGCAACGGCGAAGCAGCGGTAAACACGGACAAGATGTTGGCTGGAATGCCCGTAATCAGCTGCGTCTCCTCTGGCGAACGGGTAAAGACCTGGTAGACCATCAATAGGATCACCAGCATAGCTGAGGATAGCAGTCTCGTCGGCTGCGTCCGATTGGGCGTGTACTTGTAATAGATCAGCACGTAGTAGGCGCCCAGCAGCACGCCCAAAAGCGACGTGCCACCCACGACGAGATTAGCGGTTGTCCAGCCATACAACGTGTAGATGATGCTCTGTACAAAGTAGAAGAAAAAAGGAGCAAACGGGAACTGCAAAGTGCTCCGTGCTCGACGGATAGCTGCGACCGTGGGCCTAGTGGAATGAAAATAGCGTAACAACAGGGGTACGTTAGGGGGGTCATTACGGGTGGTGGATACTTAATCGAGAGGTCGCAAACGGAAAATAGAAACATGGATCGGGGACGTACCAGGGCGCGAGGGCGAATAAGACGGACGCGCACGTGGCGACGACGGGGACGGCTTTCGCTGCGAGGAAGTACGTCATGTAGGCGGCGTTGGCCACTGATTCCATGGACATGACGGCGCTAGCGATGCGGGCTCGAGTCTGTTGTAACGCGTGTGTATTTATTGGCAAGGAGGGAGGGCGTGCTTAGAGTTGGCAAAACGTGATTAGAGATAGAGTACGTTATTGCAAGAAACGGATCAGCGCGGTCGTTTTTAGAAATGGTACGATACGAGTGCGAAATAGAAAAAAGTGAGAAGGTTCCGGAAGAAAAGGAAGGTCGATGTTGATGGAAGGATTGCGTCGATGGGAGATTGATTGCGACGGGACGGAAGGAGAGGAAGTATCTAGGAAAGTCGGTAAAGGAGGATCATCGACTTTCGCGGTTTGCGCGAGTAGCGCTTTATATTATTTAGCAAGCAATAAAGTAGCTTTGCGGACGTCTTTCTAGAAAGTAGGAAGAGTGAGCGATTTATTCGTAAATGTTTCAATCTTTGTCTTCATACGTAGTGGTAGTTGTCCTTCGAGGTGCGATTGATGATATTTTAAGGCGCAAGATTTGCAACGAGCACGGAATTTGTTGCAAAAAGTAGTTCAATGTGAAAGAAGCGATAGAAAACGCGTTCTCGTGGGCCACTGTGATCTACCTTTGGCGGGATTTAGAAGATTGCTGTGGACGAATGGATGGATGGTACATTTTCATCCTGAGGATTCGCGAAAGTTCTCGATCGACGGACAGACTCCTATCGTATTCACAGTTTTTTGCAGAATGTTGTCAGGATTGTGGGATGTACGAGTGTTTAGCCACTTGAAACGTGATAGAAGTCACTGCGGCTACTTGCGCATGCTCCACTTTTTCAAACATGCATCTGTGAGACAAAGATCGTTGAATTGACAAGCACAAGAACTTTCACCATTTGTTCTACTCTGACGCCTAAATCTCGTTCAAAGTAATGACTAGCCTCTGACACACTTCTACAGCAAGGTTGACGAAGCTGTAGGGTAGTTGCTGTCATTGAGAGCAGCCCCTCCCCATCTCGGCATAACCGCAAGAATAGTAGTAAGTTTGCGGATGATGGGACCGTTTTTGTGTCTCGCAAAAACGGTCCTATCATCCGCGAACTTACTGAGCGAGGAAAGACAAGACGAGTCCATGACAAGCGCAGACAACTCGCGATGCTAGATAGGGCACGGGACTACTTCAATTCAATGAGGCCGAGTTGTAGAAGTGGTATCTTCATCTTTGGTGTCAATAGGGCTGTCGTCCGTGGCGTGACATATAATACCATATATCTGGACGCCGTTGGAGCCGTCGATGTGCTGCCACTGCCAATACGGACGTCTGGTAGCACCAAGAGCATGGTTTTGTAGCTCTACAGCATCGCATGAGTTTGGCGCAATAACTTAGTCGCTAGCGATGAGCATTACGCTGAGCACGGAAAAAGCCGGGCACAGATACATATCAAGCTGAGTGAGAAAACTGTGTTCCCATGGACTTTCACCAGAGTATCCGGGATATTGCTGAAGGATACCGATGTGTGCTCGATGCTTCTCGTACAGCCACGATTATCGTGATGAGGGATGACAACGACCATGCACGATGAGCTGCAGCTAACCCGGAATGGCACGAGAGATCCACAAATTGACCACATGCCAGTACTCGGCTGACAGCCACACATGAACGCAGCTGGTACTTATCCAAAATGGTACAGGGGTTGCAGACACGACATCGCGTTCTCGTGTGTGCGACTAGCACCGGTGTCTGCAAATGAATTGTGTTCAGACGCCCGACAAATGACTTGTAGTCGATGGTTAACTTTGTTGCATCGCGTGAAGGCTACGAGCTTTACACTCTCCGATGACGAAAACGAGGCAGCCACCCGGTGTGGAACGATTAGGCGCTGCGAAACGCAAATCGATCGCAGCGATCGAAGTAGTCCGTCCAAACACGACAGCGATAACTGCCTAGACGAGCTACACAGGACAACACGAACGTATGCTACACGTATACTTCCTCTAGTAGCGCATTATGGTATGGTCGATTGTGCATTACGTGCTGTTTTAATGTCATCTTAGTCCAGGTGGCTACTCAATAATAACACGGGCGTAATCCTCGATATCGTAGGATTGGGTGGGTACGTGGGCAGTCTCTTCGAACGAGCTAGCTGTCAAGTTATGTCGCAACGCGGCGGCTTTATCGTGACCGTGGATAGGAGGTCAGTCCAGCAGATTGTCAAGACATTGAAGCGCCCACCCCGGAACACCAAGCTCTTACGCCTCACGTCTCGTCCACAAGGTGAATCAAAGATTCTGACCGTTTACTACAAGACGGGAAGGACAACGAGTGTGCATTCTCAACTTGCTAAGACATCCTATTCTGCCCAGTACATAGATTGCGACCGCACCCGTTCTTCGACAAACAAAGACTGGGGTCTTTGTCCGCGCTTATTGCCACTTCGCATTGTATCCGTCACCTATTCCTGGCTTACTATCGTGTCGTACAGATAAACGATCGTTGGTCATGAAGACGCGCTATCGATCAACTACTGCTAGGTCTGAACACAGTTATCGATGCACACGCGTCGTTCATACTTCACCATGAAGTGCAAGCTGATGCAGCGTAATATGTGAACAGTCGATCGACGCCGAACGTGCAAAGATTATTTTCCGAGCAGCCTCTTCCACCAGTGGTAGACAAATTGGACAAGAGTTCATCCTGTATATTTTCACGCGAAAATGAAAATATACTGCTAGCGGCTGCGCGTACAGTCTAATTTAGATGCCAACATTTGCTAGCCCCAGCCGTGACTTTGACCGTGGCGACGTACTTGTGGTAGAGCTCGAAATTTATGAGTTCACATCCATAAATTCTGCTAAAGTGGAGTGAAAGTTAGCACTTCAGCGCCAAGTTGGATAATTCAGAAATGTTTGAGGAGATTTATCTTGTTGTGGAGGTATCAACGTAGCTTGACAGGGTGCTCGACCACATTGTAAAAAATGTGACCGTCAAATGTTTTGATACGGGACGCAATCAAAACAGCAATAATAGTACTGATATCCTGCAATCAAAAACTTGACTCCACATTTATACATTGACGATAAATCAGTGTTGCAACTATTTTCCAACCATCTTGACGTCCAGGAGCAATATTTCAGGTCTAGATATTATCAATGTTGATAATCTCTTCAATTTATGTCATCGAGTGGAATAATTGTGGTATCGCAGTCGAGCTACTGAGGACAGCCCTTAGATATAGGTGTAAAGCAATGACGGTTTTGCATTCGAATATATATCAGTGCTGATGATGTTGTCTTCTTGATGCAATCACTCCACCGCAGGGTCGAGTTCATGCGGTACATGTGACATGAGTGTGTGTCGACATACACTCACGTTATGCAGTACGCATTCAAAAGATGACATACAAGTTTGTCGTAACAGTCTTGACTCTATTTTATCGCTCGATGCTCAATGCCGCAGTTGTTCTTTTGTACTCACTGTCTTCAAAGTCGTTCACTAATATTGTTTATTCAAAAGGTGGGTCCATGATGTTGCCCGTAAGTGGTACGTGGACGGCCCATATCACTCGCTTCTCTTCGCCATGGTACACTGTATCCCGCCAACCATGAATCGAGCGCCTTTGAACTGTAAAAAGTAAACTACCAGGATACTATGCGCAATGGGCTTGCGTCTAGTCTATCACTATCTGACAAGAAACCCCTACCCAATTTAGAAGCAAGAATTAGATCCTCCGAATAGATGGCATGAGCGGTGTACATACTCGAAACATTGAAGGATTTGGATAACTTACAACTTCACGAACCGACACCTGCTTGGATGATTTCTCCTCGTATCAGAACTCTTGACTTCCTATAAGGAAGCATCAACTTTGACCGGGATTCAATCCACAACAGCTCAACTTGCCGATATCGTTTTGCACGCTATGAATTGTATTCAATGTACATCAATTATCCAATCGCTTACGCCTTTAGTCTCGGGTAGAAAGCAAAAGGTCTCTACATTCCCTGGTCTTTACGCTCGTTCGTTTTTGTCGAGACCGATGGTCTAGTATCGCTATAACCATGTTCTATTGTCTAAAACTGATCATATGTGTCATTCTTTGCAATAGACCGATCTTGATTTATCTTACAGATGCGCATTAATTCATACAGTTGGTCTTGCCTGTCGTACAGATCCACGATGCGCATGGGTCTGGTAGGCAACGAGGTTTGTGGTGCTGTTTAAATTGACAATTTCGTTGGCGCAGTGTGCACATTTAGCTCATCCAACGACCACCTCCAACTCCCTTCGGCGGAGGGCTACACAGCATCCGCCGAAGTGCGCGGCCATCGTACCACGCCACGGACGCTCAACCAGAATCTCTTGGGCCAGCCAGTTCGGATCGCCCCGAATATTTTTATCGGTTATTTCTATTTTCAAAGGACTAACCTCGATGGTACTAGGGCTCCCAGGTGATCCCATTGAGACTCGAGTCAAGATATAGGAAATAGTTCGAAGGTAAACGAGCAGACCACCACCGAGACAAGCAAGGTCTATAACCATACCTGGAAGCTTTCAGATTGACCCGATGAATTTTGGAGTCTACCAACAGGTTTACTGTATCTGCTTGGTTATTACAATTGATCCAGTTTTCACTATGAGTTTCGTCTCACCGTGACTGAAAGGCCGACTCAAAGCTTACACCACAGATCACCTTTGTTGTCATTCTTTCTTCGTGAAGGCTGGGCAAATTTTGCATGCTTCAAGCATTGTCAACGAGTTTGGAACAATATTGCGCCCGCATGTCCAACCCAACAAAAGCAAGCTCATTTTAATCAACAGGGCGATCGTGGTCAAGCGCAACGAGGGGATCGAAGCCGAGTCAACGGGAGACACAACTGGGTATCGGGGTTACGAGATTGGAACAGGGGATTTAGAGAACAGAACTGGGCCCTTCGGATCCAGAACATCCAAAAGGCGCCTCTTCACGACAACGCGGGTAGCGACCAGTGTGAAAACAGAGTTCTCATACTGAACACCACTGTCCTTCCCTCTCTGTTGTTCACAGTGAACATTTTTGACATTTTGAATCGTCGCACTCCGTCTTGTGCTTCTCGTGCTTCTCGCTTCCGCCTACCAGCTTCGGCTCGTATCAGCATTTTTGACATTTCGAATCGTTGCACTCCGTCTTGTGATTCTCGTGCTTCTCGTGCTTCTTTTTTCCGCCTACCAGATTCGGCGCCGTATCAGCATTTTTGACATTTCGAACCGTCGCACTCCGTCTTGTGATTCTCGTGCTTCTCGCTTCCGCCTACCAGCTTCGTCGCCATGTCTGCCGGGTTCGACTCGTGAAACCTCTATCTCCGTTATACGCTTGCACTTACACGGGTCAAGTTGACACTGAAAGCTAAGTGTGGGATTCAACAGGTGTTAGATGTTGGTAGCTCTTGCACTTGTGCAAAGGATGTAGGAAGTAAAAGTGAAATATATTGGGTGCTAACTATTCTCCCTAGTCAGCCCTATTTGTATGTATTTGCACCAGCACTGCAACTTGACCTGGTCAAGTTGTACTTTGGCATACGTCCAGCGTGCCCATACCATGTGCTGGTCCTGGTCCCATATGACGTCTGTATGTCTCTGTCTCTCCTACCATCTGCCTTTGATAGTCCGACATGACGATCGTCTTCTCGCGTCCCATATGTCAACCTGTCTCGTCCCATCGTCAACTTGTCGACCAATCAGGTGAGGTCGACCTAAACCTGTAACAGGTCTTGCAGTTGCCTCTACACCGACGTAACCTGTTAAAAGCTATATCTTCTAACAACAGGGCTTTCGCAATTGTGCCGATTTTAGCACGTTTTGAGGCGATGATGTATCCTATGATATCGACTATGTCATGGAGGGCGACCTCTTGTTGATCGAATCTGCCAAGAAAATTTAATGGATATGCATTCCCACCGACAATCGGTTGCGTACTCGTATCATTCCAGAGCACTATGATTTGCCGACTGATAATAGATCGATAAAACGAGACATGAATTCGTACACTCACCATGACTAAAGCTGGTTGAGTCGTCAATGCGATGGTGTTGTACACTCGAGTGTTCCTTCAGTCGATTTTTTTCAGAATGAAGTCGTCCTCGCTCATGCCTATGCTTCGACCCATTAAAGATGCATTATCACAGAAGCTACATTTCTCACCCCATGTCGCTCCGTTGATTTTCGTAAATGCTGGATTCCGAGGAGTTAGTAAACATGTCTGCAACATTCATTTTGGTTAAGATACACTTAATGGTAAATTTCTAGCTTTCTACCATCTCTGCGATCTTGTTGCTCTTCTTCGCGAAACGTATCGCACAATCATAGTTCCCGACATTAGAGCAGATCGCCAGGGTGCTCCAATTATACGCGCGTACTTCACCGGCTGATTGCTTTCATTTGAGATCTTTCATCGATTTTTGAGTCCATCTGAATTGATCGATTCACACACTGGTGGGTATTGACTATGACTTACGTGTATCATCATTGCCTGACTTTTGTGTATTGCTCGTTTATCAAAAGCTCTATCTTTTTGTTAAAGCACGAAACCAGTGACTGAACAACGATGTATCCTGAAAATCAGCACAATCAGCATCACTACATGGATATACCTTCAAGGATCAGCTTCAGTGCGCATACAAGACACGTCACTTGTTCTTATTCCTTTAAATAGCGTAAAGCACACTTTTCCTGAGCGTAATTCTCTGTACTAAACGCGTCTGTGTGCCGGCTGAGACTCCGCACAGAATTGACGATATCCGGTCTAGTACACGTATCCAGATGCTGTAGCTCCCTGACTACCTCACGGTAGGTACATTCGGGTCTCTTATCTTGCTGTTGTCAGTATGTTTGACCATTGCCTACTCGTTTTGCATTTGTGGTGATCGCACCGTCTTGACTCGGTTCATGTGAAATTGGCGCAGCATGCGGTAAATTGTTACGCTGTCTAGAAAAGACATCGCACCAAACCAGGCTCGTAGTGAACCTCCATACCGACCAACGTCATAATTCTTTGAAGTGAACGGCTGCCATTCCCAAGCCCATCAGGTGCGATCAGGTGTTCGACAGGTTAGCCTAGTAGCACTGCTTCTATTTCTGCTGGTGGTGGAGGTTCTGAATCAAGCATTACAGCGGGTCACATTAATAGAAGAGCTAGTTGTGCTGGGACTTCCGGGGCAAACGCACCTCTTTTCAGTGTTTGTCGATGACTCCACACTCTTCTTCGTGAAGGCTGGGCAAATTTCGTATGCTTTGAGCATTGTCAACGAGTTTGGAACACTATTGAGCCCGCATGTCCAACCCAACAAAAGAAAGCTCATTTTAATCAACAAGGCGATCGTGTTCAAGCGCTACGAGGGGATGGAAGCCGAGTCACCGGGAGACACAACTAGGTATCTGGGTTACGAGATTGGAACAGGGGATCTAGAGAACAGAACTGGGCCTATCGGATCCAGAAGATCCAAAGGAGCCTCTTCACGGCAACACGGGTAGCGATCAGTGTGAAAACAGAGTTCTTATACTGAACACCACTGTTCTTCCCTCACTGTTGTTCACAGCGAACATTTTTGACAATTCGAATCGTTGCACTCCGTCTTGTGATTCTCGTGCTTCTTTCTTCCGCCTACCAGCTTCGGCGTCGTATCAGCATTTTTGACATTTCGAATCGTTGCACTCCGTCTTGTGATTCTCGTGCTTCTCGTGCTTCTTTTTTCGCCTACCAGATTCGGCGCCGTATCAGCATTTTTGACATTTCGAACCGTCGCACTCCGTCTTGTGATTCTCGTTCTTCTCGCTTCCGCCTACCAGCTTCGTCGCCATGTCTGCCGGGGTCGACTCGTGAAACCTCTATCTCCGTTATACGCTTGCACTTACACGGGTCAAGTTGACACTGAAAGCTAAGTGTGGGATTCAACAGGTGTTAGATGTTGGTAGCTCTTGCACTTGTGCAAAGGATGTAGGAAGTAAAAGTGAAATATATTGGGTGCTAACTATTCTCCCTAGTCAGCCCTATTTGTATGTATTTGCACCAGCACTGCAACTTGACCTGGTCAAGTTGTACTTTGGCATACGTCCAGCGTGCCCATACCATGTGCTGGTCCTGGTCCCATATGACGTCTGTATGTCTCTGTCTCTCCTACCATCTGCCTTTGATAGTCCGACATGACGATCGTCTTCTCGCGTCCCATATGTCAACCTGTCTCGTCCCATCGTCAACTTGTCGACCAATCAGGTGAGGTCGACCTAAACCTGTAACAGGTCTTGCAGTTGCCTCTACACCGACGTAACCTGTTAAAAGCTATATCTTCTAACACTCCTCCTCGACTTCAGCCTGAATCGTCCTCAAGTTGAACATCTTGCGTAGCTCCTCCATTCTCGGCGCTAGCAAGGACTTCGTCAGAATGTCCGCCATCATGCTCTCAGTCTTGACGTACTTGGGCATCACAATTCCTTCACGCGCGTAGTGGCAGATGAATTTAAACCTGATGTCCACGTGCTTCGCGCTCGTTGTGCTCTTCTCTCCCTCGAGTTGCTTGATCGCCGCTTGATTATCCATCCACATAGGCATCGGCATGCATACCTGCAGCTTTAGCTCCAGCAGTAGTTCCCTCACACCCAGCAGTTCGCGTCCTGCCTGGGATGAGGATATGAACTCCGCCTCCATAGTGCTCAGCGACACACCTGACTGCTTCTTGCACGACCATAAAACAACAGAACCGTCCAAAGTTAGTACGTATGTAGACACTGACTTACGGTCCGCCTTGTCCGCGGCGAAGTCTGCATCGCTCCAGCACTCAATCTTGACATTTTGTTGAGTCGGTCCGTTGCCGTTCAGGTGCAACCTCAGGTTTTTTGTCGCCTTCAAGTATCTTGCAATACGTTTCGCAATCTTCCAGTCCTTGGTGGTTGGCTTGTGTGTTTGACGAGTTGCCTTATGCACTGCAAAACATATGTCGGGCCGCGTGCATCTTGCGATCCATAGCAGACTCCCGACCAAGGATTGAAAGGCACTCAAAATTGGCTCACCGCTTGCACCTCTCGCGGGTAGATAGTCCACATCATCCTTGTTATCATCATTGCATTCATCTCCGATTGGCGTTCGTACACCGTTCGCTGACTCCAACTTGAAATCCCTGAGCAACACGTCGATCATGACCTCTTGGTCCAGAATGTATCCTTGAGTGTCATTCAAAGAGATCCTGAGTCCCAGAAACTTCTGAACGACGCCGAGATCCTTGATCGACAGTGTCTCCATGCCCGCAAAGAACTCATCAACCGCGCACTGCTTGGTTCCCGTGACCAGAAGATCGTCCACGTATACTCCGACGATGGTCCATTCTTGACCTTGGTGCTTGTAGTATAGACACATGTCCGTCGTGCACTGCTTGTAGCCATTCTCGGTCAGCTTGGAGTGTAAGAGCTTGCTCCAGAGTCGTCCCGCTTGCTTTAGTCCGTACAACGATTTCCTCAACAGCAGCGCGACCTCACCAGGAGATTCCACACCGAAACCTTGAAGTTCCTCCTTAGTGATTTGCATGCCTTTTGGAACCTTCATGAAGATATCCAGATGCTCCTCCTTTTCTGTCTTAACGTAGGCGTTCGGAACATCCCCATGACGTGCGGGAACGTTCCATCGCTTGGAGAGCACCAGGATTAGCTTGACGGTCACTAAGTCCATGACGGCCGCAAACGTGAGGTTGTAGTCGATGCCGAAGACTTGTTCGTTTCCGCAAACCACTAGTCAAGCCTTGTATCGCTCGATATCTCCGTTCGCGTCGGTCTTTGTTTTGTAGACCCACTTGTTGTGCAACACGTGTGCATTTCTTGGTGGCACTACGATCTTCCAGACGTCGTTCGCCTCGAGTGCGTCCAATTCTTCGGTCATGGCTGCCTGCCATTGGTCGCGTTGTCCACTCTTCATTGCCTCACCATAGTGCTTCGGGTCTTGCTCGACGATCGCGTTCACGATGTCGCAACCGTCCACCGAGGTGTGCACTTCAACCACCTTTGGTTGACTTGACGTTGTCGATCTTGTCCCATGTCGCTCTCTGGTCCATGTCGACTTTCGACCTTTTCTGACCTGCTTCGCACGTTTCACACCATCTTGCCGATCTTCTTCATCCGCCTGATGATCAGGGCCTAGCTCCTCCTGACGTCGTGCCGTGTCTGGACAGGTCTTTCTCTCATCCTGGTCATCCTGTGGTGCTTCAATGTTTTGAACATGTTGAGTCACCACGACCACCTTATCCACTGGGATGTACACCTTGTATCCCTTCGTTTCGCTGCCTCGCCCAATGACGATGCCCGCCTTGCCTCGTTCACCGAGTGACTTGTTCTTCGGGTCTCTGTGCGCAGTGCATGTTGAACCAAAGGCCACAATGTCTGTCAGCACGGGAGCCTTGCCTGTCAGGATCTCCAAGGGCGATGCACATCCGGGGTTGGACTTGGTTTTGCTTCGATTCAATATGTACGAGGCGTACTCTGCAGCATCACCCCAAAATGAGAGCGGCAGGTTTGATGCAAAGATCATACTCCGCACCATGTTCATGACGGTGCGGTGCATCCGTTCAGCCTTGCCGTTGCTTGCTTGGTTTTTCGCCTCGCTTACTTGACGCAAGACGCCTTCCGAAGAGCAGAAAATATCGAGTGTCTTGTATTCGCCACCTCCATCGGTGCGTAAGACATGAACCTTGCAATTGAACTCGCGCTCGAAGTTTGCCATGAAGAGCTTGAACTTTAACGCGGCTGCATTCTTCGACTTGGCCAAAAATATTCGACAGTAACTCGAACGGTGGTCGATGAAGTTGACCATGTACCGATTTCCCAAACGATCTCGGGGGGTCATGGGACCCTTAAGGTCCGAACAAATGACTCCCCCGATCGCGTCGATTGGAGAATTCGCGCCTGTATCTCTCTTCGACTGGGCTCCCTTGGTCTGTTTTCCCTGGGCACAGGCCAGACACTTCTGACGTGTCGAATCAGTCAGTCGGATGCATGATGCCGGATCGTTCGCCATCTTGACGATCGTGTCGAAACAAAGGTGTCCTAAACGTCGATGAAAGTCCATCAAGGTACCGCATAGAACATCCGAATCGGATTCGTATTCAGGTGGGTTGACGACAGTCATCAGTGCCGCTTGTGGTGGCTTGGAATTACGATCACTGTGATTTGTCACCGCGACAACCAACACATTGTTGCAGCATTCGACATCCATGATGGGTGCACCGCCCGTACCGGAAGACAACACGCGCCTCCCTCCTCGATATTCAAGTACGCAACCTTTTGCCTCGAGCAATCCGTAGGAAAGGATGTTACGCTCGAGGTTCTCCGCATACTGAACATTGAGGAGCCTCACTGTGTTCACGACTCCAAGTGCAACGACTTGGATGTCTACAGTTCCCTGTAGGGTGATCCGCAGCGCACTTCCATCAGTGGCTGCAGTCATGCACTCGCTGCGGCAATCAATCGGATCAGTCAGCAGACTCGGGTCATTGACCAAATGTCTACTCGAACCGCTGTCGAGAATCCATTGTCCGGGCGAGCGACTCGCACCGCGACCAACCGCGAAAACGAAATTTGCACCCGAGGGCTTCTTCTTCATTTTGGGGCACCTCGAACGAATGTGACCCACTTCTCCACATTTGAAACAAGTCCGGGTGTCGGTGCGTGATAGCGACGGTCTTGATTTGCGTTTGTCCTTGAACTCCCGCGCAACCTCGACAGTGTTCACCACATCGCGTCCAAAAATCTTCGAGTGAGTGTCCACCTCCGTCGATTGGGCAAATTGCGCCAACTCTTCTGCTTGCCGCAGGTAATCGGTGCGATGAATGTCCAATCTGGACAACATCGTCGTTCGCATGTGTGGGTCAGCATAATGGACGATGTTGTCCAGCACAAGGTTGTCTGCACCTCCACAGGCGTCACTGACGGCCGTCAAGTACAGAAAATGGTCTGTCCAGTTTCGATGGGATGCCTTGGGTGCTGTGAACAACTCCATGCTTTGTGCTGGCGAGATCTTCGTCGTGAACGTCTGCAGTAGTCTCTGCATCGCATGTTCCAGGGTTTGGTTTTCAAACCACCACGTTTCCACTTGACGACGATAGTAGGTCTGTGCCTTGCCGGCTAGGTGCTGACCTAGAACATCAACCTTGATGTCCTCTGGCCACACGAAACCACACGCTTGCTCAGCAAACCCGACTTGTCTGACAAATTCTTTGCCCCACTCCATGAATCCACAGCCAAGGCCGTGGTAGAGCTCCTTTCCGTCGAAAGGTTGCAATGCCAGCTTCCGCTGTTGCGCGTCCGGCATGCCGACTCCCGGCTGCCCAGGGTAAACACCCCCCCCCGTTAGGCATACCCATACCGGGGTAGCGTCCTTCAGGCAAACCTGCCCGGTATATCCCAGGGACCGGTGCCTGACCCATGTTGACTCCTTCCTCTGCTTTTCTCGCGTGGGGACCTTCAACACCTGCCTGTTGTTGTCGCCGAAAACAACAGGCAGGTGTTGAAGGTCCCCACGCAATAGGTTGCTGGTGACACGTTTGGGGATTCCTTAGGAGGGGTACGGTCCAAGGTCTGGAGATTAATCCCTGCCTCGACCTCCTGTTGCCGACTGGCGATACTCGACTCGGGTGAGCCCTGCCAGTTCTTGCCGCCTTGCTCTCTCTGGGAGACCTCCATCCGGTTCATCCTTTCGGACAGGTCTCCTAGCATGGCTAGCATCTTCTCGATCGCCTCCGAAGGCACTGCCGACTTTTCTTCCAGGTGGTGGTCGTCGACCACCACGGTATGTGCAGCTGGTTCAGCCGCACCACCAACACGTTTAATTGGGCTCATAACCTGTTAGATGTTGGTAGCTCTTGCACTTGTGCAAAGGATGTAGGAAGTAAAAGTGAAATATATTGGGTGCTAACTATTCTCCCTAGTCAGCCCTATTTGTATGTATTTGCACCAGCACTGCAACTTGACCTGGTCAAGTTGTACTTTGGCATACGTCCAGCGTGCCCATACCATGTGCTGGTCCTGGTCCCATATGACGTCTGTATGTCTCTGTCTCTCCTACCATCTGCCTTTGATAGTCCGACATGACGATCGTCTTCTCGCGTCCCATATGTCAACCTGTCTCGTCCCATCGTCAACTTGTCGACCAATCAGGTGAGGTCGACCTAAACCTGTAACAGGTCTTGCAGTTGCCTCTACACCGACGTAACCTGTTAAAAGCTATATCTTCTAACAACGGGGCTTTCGCAATTGTACCGATTTTAGCACGTTTAGAGGCGATGATGTATCCTATGATATCGACTATGTCATGGAGGGCGACCTCTTGTTGATCGAATCTGCCAAGAAAATTTAATGGATATGCATTTCCACCGACGATCAGTTGCGTACTCGTATCATTCCAGAGCACTATGATTTGCCGACTGATAATAGATCGATAAAACGAGACATGAATTCGGTACACTCACCATGACTAAAGCTGATTGAGTCGTCAATGCGATGGTGTTGTACACTCGAGTGTTCCTTCAGTCGATTTTTTCAGAATGAAGTCGTCCTCGCTCATGCCTATGCTTCGACCCATTAGAGATGTACATTATCACAGAAGCTACATTTCTCACCCCATGTCGCTCCGTTGATTTTCGTAAATGCTGAATTCCGAGGAGTTAGTAAACATGTCTGCAACATTCATTTTGGTTAAGATACACTTAATGGTAAATTTCTAGCTTTCTACCATCTCTGCGATCTTGTTGCTCTTCTTCGCGAAACGTATCGCACAATCATAGTTCCCGACATTAGAGCAGATCGCCAGGGTGCTCCAATTGTACGCGCGTACTTCACCGGCTGATTGCTTTCATTTGAGATCTTTCATCGATTTTTGAGTCCATCTGAATTGATCGATTCACACACTGGTGGGTATTGACTATGACTTACGTGTATCATCATTGCCTGCCTTTTGTGTATTGCTCGTTTATCAAAAGCTCCATCTTTTTGTTAAAGCACGAAACCAGTGACTGAACAACGATGTATCCTGAAAATCAGCACAATCAGCATCACTACATGGATATACCTTCAAGGATCAGCTTCAGTGCGCATACAAGACACGTCACTTGTTCTTATTCCTTTAAATAGCGTAAAGCACACTTTTCCCGAGCGTAATTCTCTGTGGTAAACGCGTCTGTGTGCCGGCCGAGACTCTGCACAGAATTGACGATATCCGGTCTAGTACACGTAACCAGATACTGTAGCTCCCTGACTACCTCATGGTAGGTACATTCGGGTCTCTTATCTTGCTGTTGTCAGTATGTTTGACCATTGCCTATTCGTTTTGCATTTGTGGTAATCGTACCGTCTTGACTTGGTTCATGTGAAATTGGCGCAGCATGCGGTAAATTGTTACGCTGTCTAGAAAAGACATCGCACCAAACCAGGCTCGTAGTGAACCTCCATACCGACCAACGTCATAATTCTTTGAAGTGAACGGCTGTCAGTCCCAAGCCCATCAGGTGCGATCAGGTGTTCGACAGATTAGCCTGGTAGCACTGCTTCTATTTCTGCTAGTGATGGAGGTTCTGAATCAAGCATTACAGCGGGTCACATTAATAGAAGAGCTAGTTGTGCTGGGACTTCCGGGGCAAACGCACCTCTTTTCAGTGTTTGTCGATGACTCCACACTCTTCTTCGTGAACGCTGGACAATTTTCGCATGCTTCAAGCATTGTCACCGAGCTTGGAACACTATTGAGCCCGCATGTCCAACCGAACAAAAGCAAGCTCATTTTAATCAACAGGGCGATCGTGGTCAAGCGCTACGAGGGGATCGAAGCCGAGTCACCGGGAGACACAACCAGGTATCTAGGTTACGAGATTGGAACAGGGGTTTAGAGAACAGAACTGGGCCCTTCGGATCCAGAACATCCAAGGACGCCTCTTCACGGCAACGCGGGTAGCGACCAGTGTGAAAACAGAGTTCTCATACTGAACACCACTGTCCTTCCCTCTCTGTTGTTCACAGCGATCATTTTTGACATTTCGAATCGTTGCACTCCGTCTTGTGCTTCTCGTGCTTCTTGCTTCCGCCTTCCAGCTTCGGCGCCATATCGGCTGGGGTCGGCTCGTGAAACCTCTATTTCCGTCAGAACGCTTGTGCTTTCACGGGTCGAGTTGGCACCGAAAGCCAAACGTGGGATTCAACAAGGCTTTCGCAATTGTACCGAGTTTAGCACGTTTTGGGGAGATGGTGTACCCGATAATATCCGACTATGTCAAGGAGGGGACCTCTTGTGGATCAAATCTGCCTACAACGTCAAACTGCTGTACATTCCTACCGACAACCGGTTGCGTACTCGTATCATTCCAGAGCACCATGATTTGCCGACTGATAATAGATCGATAGAACGAGAAATGAATTCGTACACTCATCATGAATAAAGCTGGTTGAGTTGTCAATGCGATGGTGTTGTACACTCGAGTGTTCCTTCGGTCGATTTTTTTCAGAATGAAGACGTCCTCGCTCATGCCTTTGCTTCGACTCATTAAAAGTGTGTAATCACAGAAGTTTAATGTTTCGCCACGTGTCGCTCCGTTGATTTTCTAAAATGCTGAATTCCGAGGAGTTAGTAAATATGTCTGCAACATTCATTTTGGCTGGGACACACTTAATGGTAAATTTGCAGATCTCTACCATCTCTGCGATCTTGTTGCTCTTCTTCGCGAAACGTATCGCACAATCATAGTTCCCGGCATTTGAGCAGATCGCTAGGGTGCTCCAGTTGTACACGCGTACTTCACCGGCTGATTGCTTTCATTTGAGATCTTTCATCGATTTTTGAGCCATACAAACCGATTTATTCACACACTGGCGGGTATTGATTATGACTTACGTGTATCATCCGTGCCTGCCTTTTGTGTATTGCTCGTTTATCAAAAGCTTCATCCGTTTTGTTAAAGCACGAAACCAGTGACTGACCAACGATGTATCCGGAAAATCAGCACAATCAGCATCACTACATGGATATACCTTCAAGGATCAGCTTCAGTGCGCATACAAGACACGTCACTTGTTCTTGTTCCTTTAAATAGTGCAAAGCACACTTTTCCTGAGCGTAATTCTCTGTACTAAACGCGTCTGTGTGCCGGCTGAGACTCCGCACAGAATTGACGATATCCGGTCTAGTACACGTAACCAGATACTGTAGCTCCCTGACTACCTCATGGTAGGTACATTCGGGTCTCTTATCTTGCTGTTGTCAGTATGTTTGACCATTGCCTATTCGTTTTGCATTTGTGGTGATGGCACCGTCTTGACTCGGTTCATGTGAAATTGGCGCAGCATGCGGTAAATTGTTACGCTGTCTAGAAAAGACATCACACCAAACCAGGCTCGTAGTGAACCTCCATACCGACCAACGTCATAATTCTTTGAAGTGAACGGCTGTCAGTCCCAAGCCCATCAGGTGCGATCAGGTGTTCGACAGGTTAGCCTAGTAGCACTGCTTCTATTTCTGCTAGTGATGGAGGTTCTGAATCAAGCATTACAGCGGGTCACATTAATAGAGGAGCTCGATGTGCCGGGACTTCCGGGGCAAACGCACCTCTTTTCAGTGTTTGTCGATGACTCCACGCTCTTCTTCGTGAAGGCTGGACAAATTTCGCATGCTTCAAGCATTGTCACCGAGTTTGGAACACTATTGAGCCCGCATGTCCAACCCAACAAAAGCAAGCTCATTTTAATCAACAAGGCGATCGTGTTCAAGCGCTACGAGGGGATGGAAGCCGAGTCACCGGGAGACACAACTAGGTGTCTGGGTTACGAGATTGGAACAGGGGATTTAGAGAACAGAACTGGGCCTATCGGATCCAGAAGATCCAAAGGCGCCTCTTCACGGCAACGCGGGTAGCGATCAGTGTGAAAACAGAGTTCTCATACTGAACACCACTGTCCTTCCCTCTCTGTTATTCACAGCGAGCATTTTTGACATTTCGAATCGTTGCACTCCGTCTTGTGCTTCTCGTGCTTCTCGCTTCCGCTACCGGCTTCGGTGCCATATCGACCGGGGTCGGCTCGTGAAACCTCTATTTCCGTCAGAACGCTTGTGCTTTCACGGGTCGAGTTGGCACCGAAAGCCAAACGTGGGATTCAAGAGGGTTTGTGTAATTGTACCGAGTTTAGCACGTTTTGGGTCGATGGTGTACCCGATAATATCGACTATGTCAAGGAGGGGGGCCTCTTGTTGATCAAATCTGCCTACAACGTCAAACTGCTGTGCATTCCTACCGACAACCGGTTGCGTACTCGTATCATTCCAGAGCACCATGATTTGCCGACTGATAATAGATCGATAGAACGAGAAATGAATTCGTACACTCTCCATGACTAAAGCTGGTTGAGTCGTCAATGCGATGGTGTTGTACACTCGAGTGTTCCTTCAGTCGATTTTTTTCAGAATGAAGTCGTCCTCGCTCATGCCTTTGCTTCGACCTATTAAAAGTGTATAATCACAGAAGTCATATGTTTCGCCACGTGTCGCTCCGTTGATTTTCTAAAATGCTGAATTCCGAGGAGTTAGTAAACATGTCTGCAACATTCATTTTGGTTAAGATACACTTAATGGTAAATTTGCAGATCTCTACCATCTCTGCGATCTTGTTGCTCTTCTTCGCGAAACGTGTCGCACAATCATAGTTCCCGGCATTTGAGCAGATCGCTAGGGTGCTCCAGTTGTACACGCGTACTTCACCGGATGATTGCTTTCATTTGAGATCTTTCATCGATTTTTGAGCCACACAAACCGATTGATTCACACACTGGCGGGTATTGATTATGACTTACGTGTATCATCA